TCAATATAAAGTTCAAACTCTTTAGCCAAGAATTAAAGGCCCTCTATAATCTGAGTACAACTTATATTTTCAGTCATTTAATCTATATATATTTTTGCATTTTTTAATAAGTAAAATGGTCCCCTCATCTTACACTTTTGCAAAACTGTCTGTGCTCTTCTTGGCCCTTTGCTTTCCATAAATTTTCCAATCACTTTAGGTACCTTACCACTAAACATTCACAAATCCAGTTGTGATTTTTATTAAAAACTTATTGAATTTGTAGATTAAAGTGATAAGAATTTTTTTGGTTTTATTGAATTTATTGGGGTGACATTGATGAATAAAATTATAGATTTAGGTGTACAATTCTATAATATATTGTATTGTGTATCCACTACCCTAAGTCAAGAGTTTTCAGTTAATTATGTTATTTAGTGTTGCTATCCATAAATATGATATAACTCTCCATTTATCCAAATATTTTATATCAATAAGTTTTATAATTTTCTTTTTTTTAAATATTTCTTTAATGATTTCAGACAGAAAGGGGGAGGGAGGGAGGAAGAGAGAGAGAGACAGAGAGAGAGAGAGAGAGAGAGAGAGAGAGAGAGAGAGAGAGAGAGAGAGAGAGAGAGAGAGAGAGAGAGAGAGAGAGAGAGAGAGAGAGAGAGAGAGAGAGAGAGAGAGAGAGAAAGAGAGAGAGAGAGAGAAATATCAATGATGTGAAAAAAAATCATTGATTGGTTACTTTCTGCACACCCCTCCTGGGGATCAAGCCTGCAACCTAGGTATGTGCCCTGACTGGGAATTGAACCACAACATCATGGTCCATGCTCATCCACTGAACCATGCCAGTCAGACTATAATTTTCTTAAAGGACGTGTATATTTATTTTTTTCTTTTTACCTTTTGACCTCTTCACCCATTTCTCCCACCATCACCTTTTTGGGTTTTCTGTTTATTTGTTTTTAGAATCACATAAAATTGAGATCAAATGGAATTTGTCTTTCTGTGTCATGCTTATTTCACTTTATATATATATATATATATATATATATATATATATATATATATATATATATATATTTCAATCTATTCTTTATCCATTTACCCATCCATTGACACTTAGGTTATTTCCATATTTTGGCTGTTGTAAATATTGCTGCAATGAATATGGTGATAGATATATCTTTTTTAGTTAGTGTTGTGTTTGTTTTTTCGCCAGATAAACACCCAGAAATAAAATCAATGGATGTATGGTGGTTCTATTTTTAATTTTATTAGTAACCTCCATACTGTTTTCCATAGTGGTTACACCAGTTTACATTCCTATCAACAACGCATAAGAGTTCCCTTTTCTCCACATCCTCACCAACACTTGTAATTTCTTGCCCTTTTTATAATAGCCATTCTAAAGTTATATAAATTCTTTATATATTTTGGATATTGCCCTTTATCAGATATATGATTTACAAGTATTTTTTCACATTCCATCAGATGCCTTTTCATTTTGTTGATGGTTTCCTTTGCTGCACAGAAACTTTTTAGTATGATATAGTTGTTGTTTTTTCTTTTAGTGTCAGATTCAAAATGTCATCACCAAAACCAATGTCAAGGAGCTACCACCTATGTTTTCTTTTAAGAGTTTTATGATCAACTACAATAAAAACAATAAAAACTAATCAAGCACTTAGAAGCTAAATAGCATGCTATTAAACAATGATTGGGTTACCAAAGAGATCAAAGAAGAAATTTAAAACATCCTAGAAACAAATGGCAATGAAAACACAACAGTCCAAAATCTATGAGACACAGTGAAAGCAGTTCTGAGAGGAAAGTGCAGAGCACTACAGGCCTACCTCAAAAAACAAGAAAAACTGATAATATATTATCTACCCTTACAACTTCAAGAATTAGAAAGAGAGCAATAAGAAAAGCCCAGAGTAAGCAGAAGAAAGGAAATAATAAAGATCAGAGTGGAAATAAATGACATAGAGACAAAAAAAAAAATACAAAAGATCAATAAAACCAAGAGCTGGTTCTTTGAAAGGATAAACAAGACTGATGAACCTCTAGCCAGGATCACCAAAGAACAAAGAGAGAGGACCAAAATAAACATAATCATAAATGAAAGGGGTGAAATAACAACTGACCCCACAGAAATACAAAGGATTATAAAATAAAAAATAAATAAATAAATAAATAAATAAATAAATAAATAATACTATGAACAACTCTATTCCAACAAAATGGACAACCTAGATGAAGTGGACATATTCCTAGAAAAAGACAATCTTACAAAACTCAATCAGGAAAAATAAAAAGATCTGAATAGGTCGATAACTATATATAAAGGAAATTGAAGCCGTTTAAAAAAAAAAAAAAAAAAAAAAAAAAAAACTTCCAGCAAAACAAAATCTGTTGGTCCAGATAGCTCACATGGGAGGTTTACCAAGCATTCAAAGAAGAACTAAAACCTATCTTCCTCAAACTATTCCAAAAAATTCAAGAGGAAGGCATACTTTTAAACTCTTTCTATAAAGCCAGCATTATCCTAATCCCAAAACCACATAAAGACACTACTGAGGAAGAGAATTACAGGCCGATATCCCTGATGAACATACTAGTAGATGCTAAAATCCTCAACAAAATTCTAGCAAATTGAAAGAAGTAAAACTGTCATTATTTGCAGATGACATGATATTATATATAGAAAACTGTAAAGACTTTGTCAAAAAAAAACTACTAGATTTAATAAATAAATTTGGCAATGTAGCAGGATCCAAAATTAACACCCAGAAATCTATGGCTTTTTTATACACCAATAATTAATTCGCAGAAAGGAGAAACAAAAACAAAAAAGGAAGGAAGGAAGGAAGGAAGGAAGGAAGGAAGGAAGGAAGGAAGGAAGGAAGGAAGGAAGGAAGGAAGGAAGGAAGGAAGGAAGGAAGGAAGAAAATCCCGTATACCATTGCACCAAAAAAATTAAGATACCTAGGAATAAACTAAGGAGGTAAAAGACCTGTACTCAGAAAACTAAAGGACATTGAAAAAAGAGATAGAAGAAGATCTAAATAAATGGAAGAATCTACTGTGTTCACAGACTGGTAGAATCATACATCAGTAAAATGCCCTTATTGCCCAAAGCAATCTAAAGATTCAATACAATCCCCATTAAAATACCAATGGCATATTTCATAGACCTAGAACAAAGTCTCCAAAAATTCATATGAAATAAAAAAACAACAAATAGCTGCATCAATATTATCTAGAATGTCTCAGTAATTTACACAGACATTTATTTATATTTTAAATATAGTCCAGAATGTCATGATCATCTAATTTCATGAATTATAGATTAATAGAAGAAATTAGAAATTATTCACAACTAAGCAAGAAATAGCAGCCTACAATCTAAAGAAGAGAAACCAACACATACACACACACACACTGAAAATTATATCTATATCAAATAAACACAAGAACTCCAAAGTTTCAGAACTGTAAGGAAATAACCATAAAGCTAACAGTCTTAATTATCCCAATGATCTCTGGGGGCATCATTACAGTATAGCATGGTAAAATAACTGACATTTATAATATTATAATCATTGTGATACCTCAAATTTATGGAGTTTGCATTTCATATGAGACTTTTTATATTCATTATTAGAGTTAATTCTCAAAATCTTTGAGTTACCAAGTCAGGTATAGGTATCATAGGAAATTTTAAATTTTGTGGCTCAGGGATATTGTAGAACTTACCAAGGGTCATGTAAATTGTCAGATAGGTATTGGCGTTCATAGGCTACTGCATCATGACTTCAAATCATCAAATAATATTTACTTTTATGCTATCTAATGTGGTTAGTAAGACAAAAAAGTATGTAATACATTCTAGAAATTTCCACAAAAATTGCTGATGTGCTAAACACATCCAAAAAATTAATTTGAAACTTACACAGATTTAATTTGAAAGTTTTTAAACTTTTAAGCCCTTGAAGAAATAAAATTCAGTAACATAAAAAATTCCCTTATATCAAATCCCCATTTCCCTATATGCCACAGAGATTTAAACTTACAATGTTAGTAGTAAATCCACAACCATTAATTATCCTACATTTTAAAGTTTAAAATCTGTACATAAAAGAACATGCACATTATAGCAATCACTTAGATTTAATTTATTTAACTGAAAACATAGAAGCATCAGAGAGAAGGTGGGGATGGAGGTGGCAAAGGAGATATTAACCAAAGAACTTGTATGCATAACCCATGGACACAGGCAAGTGTGTGAAGGCCTGGGAGGATGAGGGGTGGCAGGTGCAGTGTAGAGGAGAAAATGGGGAAGGGGGGAAAGAGAGACATCTGTAATACTGTTAACAATAAAGATACATTTTTTACAAAGTATTATTAGTCTTTCACCTAGAGATACTTGAACCTAGGTGGATTCTTGTGGGGAGAGAAAGTGGATGTGGGATATTAGAGTAGATGTCCTATGTCAAAGCACTTCTCCCTTGAACATTTAGCTTTAACAATATTAGAAACACTCAATGCTACAATATTTGGAAGCAAAATAATGATATTTATAATATTTCTAAAAATGAGAAGAAATAAATTGCTTTGGGTTTTCTTTTTGCTTTGAAGCAATTGATTTTTCATAATCAAACACTGTCCAGCAAAAAGAAAGTAGGAGAGGGAAAATTAAAAGTAACGTTGCAGCTGAAAAAAATTCCTATACTACATTTTTTTCCAGGGCAAGGCTTATAGTCAGTTGAAAACCTTGATTTGCTATCATAAGAACAAAAAAAAAAATGCACAAAAACTTTACATAAATGGAGCTATCTGCTTAACACTCCTAATGGATCACAATCTGCCATCACCATGGTAACCTCTGAATAACTTTTTCCAGGCTAGTGCCAATTATGCACTTCTCTGGCCCTTGAAATCCCACTCTCTTTTTTTTAAGGCCTGGAATTTTTAAAAGAATAAAGCCCAACATTTAAGTCCACACATACCCTCTTGTTCAGTCCGAGTCATTTCCTCAAGCTTCTTCTGTTTCAGTGTGTCCACCACATCGGCAAGGCTCCCTTTGCGGCGTTCTGGGGTTCCAAAAGTAACACTGGTCATTATCTCGCGGTCCCGACTCCCTTCGTCAGGCTTATGTGGTGAGGTAGAGGTATTTCGGAAGGAATATAGGGAACATAACTTATTATTCTCTGACTCCTAGAAAAAAAAGAAAGAAAAGAAAAACAGAATAAAATAAAACCATTAGAATACTTGTTTCTTTGCATATCATTGGGAGAAAAAGATCCCAAACTCAGATTGACAATATATGATGCTTAGATGGACAAATAAAATACAATAACTATTTCCACTTAAAAAAATACTAAACACTAAAGCAATTATGAAAATGCAGATTCATACTGGTGCGTTGTTTTTTATTAAAAGCAGCCTGTGCTTCAAAACCAATTTCAAAATGGACACCTCAACTTCTTCCTCATTTGTGCCCTTCTTTTAAAATAGTTGATTCAATTACTAATTATTAGAATTGGTAAAATTTTTCTTTAAATTGGCAGTTTAATTAGCAGAGCCTAAAAATACATATACATCACAAAAACATTATCATGCTTGAACTTAGAAACAGTAGAGAAATTAGCTTCAGTGATTGTTAGTTGTTCACTGGAAAACATAAAAAATGTCTAAGTCACTGCCAGAAAAATAACTAACCTGAATATTTTTGTATGTTGAATTTTGGGAGAATTCACTTTTTTCTAGCTGTATATCTGTCAAAAATTACAGAAACTTCTTTCCATTCCTTACCTTTACCCTAGTTAAACACATTTCTCATATAGCATTTAGAAATGGTTTGTTGTTTGTTTGTTTACAAAGGAACAAGTTTGTTACAGAAACATTTGCACAAGAATTACTTCACAGTACAGAGAAAGTTGGCTAACTGTGATGAGGAAAAACAAATCTTAGATGAAAAATAATATACACCTATAAGTTTATAGAAAGAAAATATTTACATATCCCTCTAAATCAGAACTGAGGGTTGAAAGCAACTACTATTTGTCCATTGCCCATCAGTAGTCTTACATTCGCCTTATCTATCTGTGCTCAGGCAGTCTCTCTCCCAATAAGAAATGTTTCGAACTAAAGCCTTTGTGATTTTCATCAGAAGCTTGAAAATCCTATCTGCTCCTATATTTCTCGCCATCTTCACAAAGAAGCCTGGCAAGCTTCCAGAACTATGTAGAAGAAGGTAAGTTACAGTTAATAATTAGTGGAAAGGGGTGGAAGGAAAAGGAATCTAAAGAAGTTTCCACATATATTAAATAATAATTGTACTCAATAAATGTTATGTATGTATATATTATCATTTTTAAGAAGATAGGAATAAAACTTATTTTCAGAGTTATTGGGAGCATATAATGAAATAACAATTATAAAGTAATTAGACACAATGCTAAACTCATAGGCAGTGCTTTAATTAATGGTAGGTGCTATTATGCTGATTAAGAAGCAGACTTAGGAATGGAGTCACGGAGTATTATCCCCCTTCTTTGGTAAGAAATGTTATTAGTCTTGAACTAAATTGAATATTGTGAAGTCTGTGAATATATTTTAAAAACTACTAAATTGTATACATCAAAAGGATAAATAGTTATGTGTATTATATCTCAATAAAGCTATTAAAATACTGCGAGTCCAGGAATTAAGCAAAGAAATAAAAAGACTCATGGACACAGACAACAGTATAATAATTGCCAGAAGGAAGAAGGTAAAGGGAGGATAAATGGTGATGGAAGGAGACTCAACATGGGGTGGTAAACACACAATATGCTATACAGATGGTGTGTTGCAGAATTGTAAACCTGAAACCTGTATAATTTTACTAACCAAATGTCGCCCCAATAAATTCAATTTTAAAAAGTCTATAGATTCAACACAATCCCTATTAAAATACCAATGGCATACTTCACAGAACTAGAATACTTCAAAAGTTTATATGGAATCATATAGACCCCAAATAGCTGAGCAATCTTGAGGGGGGGGAGAAAGAATTAAGTTAGAGAGTTCATAATACTTGATATCAAACTATGCAACAAAGCTATTATAACCAAAACAGCTTGGTACTGGCACAAAGATAGGTATACAGACCAATAGATCAGAAGAGAAACCCCAGAAATTGACCCACACCATTATGGTCAATTAATATTTCACAAAGGAGACAAGAATATACAATGAAATAAAGATAGCCTCTTCAATAAATGGTGCTGGGAAAACTGGACAGACACATGCAAAAAAATATTGTGCGCCAAATCTTAACCTTTTCCACATTCCCACTGTTGGCACAATGTCTATCACATTTGTGCTGAAATCAAGTAACAAGGATACAATTAATGGGGCAGAGCAGGAAAGAGAGCTCCTCTTTACCTTGGTCCTAGATCTCTTCCTTCCCCAGGAGAGATGTTATATTTCATTAAAGTTTACAATAACTCTGTGGAGTGATGCAGAGGAATTCCTCTAGATGCCAATCATGTTTATGCCTTAAACATGGCTTTTTGGAATGGCCTCTTGATTCTTCACTTTGGACAAACAAAAACTGAGATATGTTTCTGGAAAGCCATTTTGACCTCTTACTACTGTCCCTATCAGAAATTTGACCTAAGTGTTTTTGAATTGATAATTACCATTTGATCAATCATGCTTCAGTCACTTTCATTTCAAATGCAAACTAGTCTTATATCATAGCCTATAAGTCAAAAAACAAATTCTGATTCAATCTAAGCCTCAAACTTTTTAAAGTGGGGGCCAGATCACGGTCCCTCAGAGAACTGGAGGGCCGGACTATATGAACTACTAATTCCTACTGTAACACCTCAGCTGCGCTCACTGCCCAAAAAACCTGGCGGGCCGGATCAGACTCCTCTGCGGGCCGCATGTGGCCCGCGGGCCGTAGTTTCAAGACGCCTGATCTAAGGGATTCAAGACCAAGTCAAAACATGAGAAGGTGGTTATCCATAGATGACTCAGTATTGTCCATAATAAAGCAAATTTTTCCATCACTCAAAACATGGTAGAAGTGACTCTCCAGCCTGAGTAACAACTTTAAGTTGTCCTTAAAGCATTTGGGCTCCATACAGTACCACTTTTTTCTCTCAGGACTAATTTCAGTCTTACTCATGTCACTTGCTTAGATCAACTACATCTCTTGTTGTTTTTTTACTCATGGTAATGTGGTCACTACCATCCTGCACCACAGACAGTAACCATGGGTTCCCTCACCGATTACCCACACACTGTCCTCAGCCCTGTAATGTGTGCAAAGTGGCTCAACACCACCAAAAAGCAGGCAAAAAGAAGCTGAAAAGTCATGATTTCACCAAGGCATTAAGATAGGCAGTGCATGAAATCATAAATGGCTTAAGTCATATAACATTCTTAGGAACAATAGAAAGGGGCAATATTTATATTTCTCGCCCTCACTTTTTAACTTTCTAAAACTTAAGAAGTAATGGCCTTTCATTAGTGGAGGCCTCTAGGCCAGTGGTCGGCAAACTGCGGCTTGCGAGCCTCGGTTTGCAGCTCTGTTAACTAATGAGTTTGCTGACCACTGGGATAGGGGCTTAATCACAAGGAACAACAACAGCCTGTAATTATTGGAATTGAGAGTCTAGGTCAGTGGTCGGCAAACTCATTAGTCAACAGAGCAGCAAACCATGGCTCGCAAACTGCATGTGGCTCGTGAGCTGCAATTTGCCGACCACTGCTCTAGGCAATTTATTGGAGTAAAGGGAGACAAATCCAAACACTTTCAATGAAGAAATTACTGTTCGATAAAAGGCAATCATGTCTTATTTTAAAAACAGACTTCACAAAGAATCTCTAATCTTTTTTTCTAGAGGACTAAATCATTTTCAAATACGTTTTCTTAAGAAAAAAAAAGCTTAACTTAATCTGTAAGTTTTAAAAACAAATTCTATGAAATATCAATTGAGGCAAGATTCCCAATGATAATATCTGAGTCTTAATGCATGTCACTGCAGCACAACGGTTGAGAGATCTGAGACAATATTTCCCTAAAGCAGTGATTCTCAAACTTCAAGATACAGAATCCCCTGGCAAGTATGTTAAATGCAGATTCCTTCATCTCCTCCCATACCCTGAAGAGTAGGACTCGGGAATATAAATTTTGAGGAACATCTCAAGTGATTCTGATCACAGTTACTTTAATTCTGATGTACCTCACTTGAAGAAACGTCAATCCCTAAGGCAAATTAAATAAATGTGCTTCGCCTTAATGTTATAATGCAGATATAATTATGAATAATTTTAACAAGCCTGGTTAGTTGTAATTTTTAAAAATAACATAAAGGAGATTACCCCTCTTCTTTTGACCTTTCTTGTGAAAACAACTAATGAATAACATGACTGAACACACGAATATCACGAAAAGCAGAGTATATGGGACACGTTATAAGCATTAGTTCATTCAAAGAAAATTTACTATAAATATGTTTTCTTTCAACCCTTAACGTCGGTGACCTCACCAAACCTAACAGTAAAAATTGTTTCAAAATATTATTCAAACGAATTTTAGTCCTAACACAAAAAATAAAGCAATATTGTTGATTCAAGTGATCTAAAGAGGATTTCACTGGAAATCAATTAAACACAGTTCTCAAATTATATGTAGAAGAGTGAAAAAGTACCCAGTAGGACCAGGGAAAAAAGTCATTAAGCAGAGTTTCTAGAAAAAAAAAGCAATTTTCACAAATTAAGAATATTTTAGTAAGAAGTTTTTCTGTCTGAAGGGATAAAAACATAAATATCAAAAACAAAGCATGTATGGATGGTAACAGATGTTAACTAAACTTATTGTGATGATTACTTAACAATATGTGCAAATATTGAATCATTATACTATTCTCATGAATTATTATGCTGTACACCTGAAACTAATATAACATTTTATATCAATTATACATCAATTAAAAAACATGTGAGGTGATGGATGTTAACTTATTGTGGCAATAATTTTACAATACATACATATGTTACAATACACACTGTGTTGTACACCTTTAACTAATATAATGTTTTGGTCAAGTATATCTCAATACAACAGGAAAAGCGTGTTAAAATAATATTGCTTCAATTTTTCAGATGTGATTTCTGAATGGTGATAATATTATTGGTAAATTTCTCTTTTTTTGCTT